CAGATTCTGCTAATAAAATGTGCTAGCTTTCATTTATTCTTTACTATCTGCATTAATACAGCACTTCAGCTTAATAAGCTTGCATTTACTATAAGAATAATCTTTCCAGCATTAGTGCTGTAATCAATTGAAATAATGATTGAATGAGATATGAGTATTCGAATAAATATAGCAATAGCTTCTTTCTATTCCTTCTCTCATCTTCATGCAATATCTTTCTTGAAAAGATTGTAGAGTAGTTAAGCAATGATTACAAAATTCCAAATCCAAGCTGCATAATAGATAATTAGTTTAATGAAAGAGCGAATGTTTTTGATATTCTTACATTCTATTCAGATTAGAAGCTTTTCTATCTTTCTATTCTGAGATTATTATTCGCTGGAACTAATAATATAATTAATCATATTAACTTTCACTTAGCATTATTCTAACTTGAATGCTGAGATTATAGCTCTAGCTAGTTCTGCATTTATAAGAATCTTATTAAGATTTCTAATGTGCTCAGCAATATATCTATGCATTTCAGAAAAGCTCAGAATCTCTTCATTCCCATAGATTATTATAGAATTACAAACAGAAATATTATTAAGAAAAAGCTAGCATATATAAGAAATAAGATTATATAGAAGTCTAACTATTATTCTCATAAACTAAATAATAGAATTAGTAGTACTCTGGAATAAAGTATATATTCTGAACAAGCTTAAGAGCATTGAGAAGATTGTTATATTTCTGCTGTTAGAATGCAGTTGCACTTGATTGTATCCAGAAAAGAAATCGAGCAGTGAAAGAACCTTGCATATAGCGAACTTCTTCAAGAATTTATCTGAGATAAGCAGCATAAAAGCATCCTTGAAGCTGTGCTTATTATATTTTTAAGCATTATTAATCAAGTATAAGCTATTATTCTTTTTAATAATAAGAAACTAGTTGTTTCTGTATAATGCATAGCTTTTCTTAATGATTTTCCGCCTGATATATTATTTTAGGAGCTTTATTAGCTTTAGCCTGAGAGCATTGGGGATTGGAATGTGCTTTGCTTGAAAGATCTTGTAGGATATAGTTCTGATTTCTTGCAAGAGAGCTACTTTCTCAATAATCTTTCCAATCTTAGTAAAGTTCTATGTAAGAGCTTTGATTCTGTTTCTTAATATATATTTGAATATTTTCTTTTCAGCTTTAGAAAACCCTTTATAGTTTTTCTCTTGCATAGCAGCTTATTAGTTAGGTTTTAGGTGCTGATTAGGATTCAGATTGCTGAACTTGGGTTCAATCTACTTATTATACTTGGTAGGCTTTGTGGATTGCTGAGCTTGTTTCATCTCCTTAATCTTGGCAAGCTTTCATCCAATCGTTCCTTCCAGTACTAAACTATTAAGCTGGAAATCATTAATTAGCTTAATCTTCTTGTTTTTGAGCTTGTAAAGAGTATTAACTAAGCTTAAAACATCTTTTCTTTCCTTTCCTATACAATATAGCTAGTATGAATAGCGCTAGCTGCTGTGCATTTCATACAAGCAAGACTCTTGGATTGCTTCTTTCTTATTTATTATGAAGCAATCCTTCTTCAACTTTCTTCCTATCAGTTCTATTATTAACTCATTTACAACAGCTGCAATATCTCATTCAGGTATGGATATTATAGCTATATCTCTCTTCTCCAATAATACTCACTCTGGAACAACTTCTCTGCTGATAGCTCTGCGTTTCTCAGGATAGCTGTTAGCACTCAGTTTTTTGGTGTAATTCTGTATAAATTCTCCTCTTCAAGGAGTTTCTGATTGCTGATTGTAGTAATCAGTTGTACTCCTCCAAAGACGAAGCTTATACGGAGAAATCCGGGAATGGAGTGATTAAAGGAAAGCTTAGTTTGTATTATAAATAGCATTTCTAACAATATAGAATGATTTAATAATATTAATCTATTATTAATAATATAGAATATTACTTATTCAGAAAAGCTGCTATAGAAAATATTAGTTTTAAGAATTCTAATAAGCGCTATATCTGATTCATTGTATATATATAAGATAATATTCGATATTAGCATATAAGATAAGCGCATGCTCGAATACAGAAAGAGAGCTATTAAGCTTATTTCAGCATCTGTATTCAGCATTGCTTGTATAGATTCATTCTCTTTATCTTCTAGCTGCAAAGAAATGTATACTACTGGAGCGATGCTTCTATCTCAGATGCTGCTGAGAGCAGTTATGAAAGCTATTACAGAAGGAAATGAGGATTTGTTAAAGGCTTGAATCATGTTAATAGTAAGCTTGATATAGCTAGATTCAGTAATAAGAGATAAAGCTTGAACTGCGGATAGTTAAGCTAGTTTCGAAAGATACTCAGTAATATTCCGAGTATTGATAATCTAACTATTAATAAGCTTTTTAAGCTGGGAAAGTATCGAGATTCCGGGTTTATGCTATAATGAATTAGCTAATCTAGCAGTATCTATCTTGTATAGGTTCGAGCTGGTTTGATTATTAAGATTAACAACTTTTCGAGCTTCAGAGCTAACTCCTTGAAGACTATAAATCAGATAAGCTTCTTATTCTGATAATATAACTATTATCTTCCAGCTTGAAATCTTCAACGAATGATTTAGAAACTAATTCAGAAGCTTATTACTAATAGCCTGAACTGTTAGCTTTCTATTCAAACTATTGGATTGCTTGTTAGATTTCTCTGATTCAATATTCCCGAAATATATAGAGATCTCAACAGTTCTCATACTTGCATCTTCTTCAACCTCATTATCATCATATCCAGCCTTCCCAACACAGCGCTTCTGTTAGGTGGAAAGGTTGCAAAGGCAATGTGGCGAGGTCTTTCTCTCTTTCAGGGGCATACAACCAGAATAACATTGAGGCCTAAGGAGCTAAGTTCTGCTCAGCAGTGCTGACGTGGCTAGAAAGCCGCTTTATAGCCGCATATTGCTTAGTCATCCGTAATCCAGCTGGCTTAGCTGGCCCTGAGCCTTGCTAGCACAATCGGCCCTAACAGATTGTCCCCCCTTATCAGGCCTTGTCCTCAAGGCCTTTGAGGCTTCCGAGCTTTCGTTGCTTCCAGGCTTCCGTTGCTCCCAAGCTTCCGTTGCTCCCAAGCTTCCGTTGCTTCCAGGCTTTCGCTGCTTCCTAGCTGCTCCTACGCCTTCTCAATGCTTCAGGCTCTTAAGATCTCTCAGTGCTTCAGGCTTCTCAAAGCTTCTCAAGATCCCTCAGTGCCTCAGGTTTCTCAAAGCCTCTCAAGATCTCTCAGTGCCTCAGGCCTCTCAAGGCCTCTCAAGATCTCTCAGTGCCTCAGGTTCCTCAAGGCCTCTCAAGATCTCTCAGTGCTTCAGGCTTCTCAAGGCCTCTCAAGGTCTCTCAGTGCCTCAGGCCTCTCAAGGCTTCTCAAGATCTCTCAGTGCCTCAGGTTTCTCAAAGCCTCTCAAGATCTCTCAGTGCCTCAGGCTTCTCAAGGCCTCTCAAGGTCTCTCAGTGCCTCAGGCCTCTCAAGGCTTCTCAAGATCTCTCAGTGCCTCAGGTTCCTCAAGGCCTCTCAGTGCCTCAGGCCTCTCCACCATCTCCCTCCTTCTCTTCTGGCTTCGTCCCCGAAGCCTGTGAAAAAAAAAAATCTCTTTTTAATCACATTCCAGACGTAAGTCTTCCGAGTGCAATACCCGCGCCATATACGCTGCTCAGTCGCTGCTCCCTCAACGCTTTATCCAGGCACTCTTCAGAACTTAAAGCTGTTTGATGTAGGTTGCAAGCCTTCCACCAGGGACTTGGTTTGCAGCCAAGGAGCCCAGCATCCAGAACAGCATCTCTGCAGCTATAACGGATAATTATAGCTTTCCGTCTTGAGAGTTGCTCTCTAGCAACTCTGAAGCTGTTGCCACGCTTCGCTCCACCGCTAAGCGCAGAAGGATAATTGGTTTGCAATCTAATACCCAAGCAACTTCAGTTGCTAAGCGGATACTCCGCTTCAGCTCTGCGCTCTCGCTCAAATAGCGAAGAGCACACTCTCAAAAACAGAAGATACTCAGATCTACTGCTTGCTCACTCTGCTCTCTCGCTCGAATAGCGAAGAATACACTCTCAAAAACAGAAGATATTCAGATCTACTGCTTGCTCACTCTGCTCTCTCGCTCGAATAGCGAAGAACACACTCTCGAAAACAGAAGATACTCAGATCTACTGCTTGCTCACTCTGCTCTCTCGCTCGAATAGCGAAGAACACACTCTCGAAAACAGAAGATACTCAGATCTACTGCTTGCTTACTCTGCTCTCTCGCTCGAATAGCGAAGAATACACTCTCGAAAACAGAAGATACTTAGATCTACTGCTTGCTTACTCTGCTCTCTCGCTCGAATAGCGAAGAATATACTCTTGAAAACAGAAGATACTCAGATCTACTGCTTGCTCACTCTGCTCTCTCGCTCGAATAGCGAAGAACATACTCTCAAAAACAGAAGATACTCAGATCTACTGCTTGCTCACTCTGCTCTCTCGCTCGAATAGCGAAGAACACACTTTGTTCTAGCTTAGCAACTCGAATGCTCTGAATCTCTTCTAAATGCTTCTCGCACGCTGCTTGCATACTGCTTGCTCGCTATTTGCTCTAGCTTAGCAACTCAAATGCTCTAAATCTCTTCTGAACGCTTCTCGTACGCTGCTTGCATACTGCTTGCTCGCTATTTGCTCTAGCTTAGCAACTCGAATGCTCTGAATCTCTTCTGAACGCTTCTCGCACGCTGCTTGCATACTGCTTGCTCGCTATTTGCTCTAGCTTAGCAACTCGAATGCTCTGAATCTCTTCTAAACGCTTCTCGCACGCTGCTTGCATACTGCTTGCTCGCTATTTGCTCTAGCTTAGCAACTCGAATGCTCTGAATCTCTTCTGAACGCTTCTCGCACGCTGCTTGTATACTGCTTGCTCGCTGTTTGCTCTAGCTTAGCAACTCGAATGCTCTGAATCTCTTCTGAACGCTTCTTGCATGCTGCTTGCATACTGCTTGCTCGCTGTTTGCTCTAGCTTAGCAACTCGAATGCTCTGAATCTCTTCTGAACGCTTCTCGCACGCTGCTTGCATACTGCTTGCTCAACACTGCTTGCTCGCTGTATGCTCTAGCTTAGCGACTCGAATGCTCTGAATCTCTTCTGAACGCTTCTCGCACGCTGCTTGCATACTGCTTGCTCGGCACTGCTTGCTCGCTGTATTCAAGGCTCGAAAGCTCGAAAATCGAAGGCTCGAAGGTCAAAGGCTCGAAGGTCAAAGGCTCGAAGGTCAAAGGCTCGAAGGTTAAAGGCTCGAAGGTCAAAGGCTCGAAGGTTAAAGGCTCGAAGGTCAAAGGCTCGAAGGTTCGAAAAGAATAGTAGTCTGATCGTTTGCTCTGCTCCTGCTCAGTATTAGCGCTGCTCCTAGGGAAGAAAAAAAAAGATAGAAAGCCTCGCCGGATTGCCTCCTTTAAAAGGGCCAGGCCTCAAACTGTCAGGTGGAAAGGTTGCAAAGGCAATGTGGCGAGGTCTTTCTCTCTTTCAGGAGCATACAACCAGAATAACATTGAGGCCTAAGGAGCTAAGTTCTGCTCAGCAGTGCTAACGTGGCTAGAAAGCCGCTTTATAGCCGCATATTGCTTAGTCATCCGTAATCCAGCTGGCTTAGCTGGCCCTAAGCCTTGCTGGCACAATCGGCCCTGACAGCTTCTTTGCTTCATCTGCATTTATCTGAGCTTGAACAGGCTCAATACTTACAGCATTGATGCTGAAAAGCTTTAGTAGGTATAGTTCAGCTTAAGCTGGAGTGAGATATAACTTCCTTACTTGAATCTCATCAGCATTGCTGAGAATCTCAATATTGTTAGTTCTATACTGATTATTGCATTTGGAAATAGAATTAGTTTCTTTCTACAGTATTTTATTCTTAGCTATCTCAGAATCTCCATGCTATTTCTCGTTCTCTTGGATCAGGCTAATATATTGAGAGATTTAAGAATTCTTAATACTCTTTAGCTGCTAATCCTCACAGAGACTGAGGATCAGATAGATTATATTGCTTTTGGAATTATCTTGAGCGGATATAATCTGGCTATATAATACTGGTTTTGATCTAGAGTTCAGAAACTTCAAGCAATTGCTAAGATGCTATTCTAGCTTTGCTAATGCTAAAGCATAGCAAATGCTATAGTTCATAATAGTACGAAATTCTATGCACTTATAAGCTTTATAGGATTTCGATCTATAGCTGTAGCACCTATGCAGAGTTCCATTCTTCTTCAGGATTTCATTAATCTCTGCTTGCTATGCTTCAGAATACTACTTACTCTCGTTTTCCAAACTTATATAAGTAATATCTATCTGCAAGGAATTTGCATTTCTCTAGGAAGGATTTTTTGTAGAAATAGTTTGGGAATGCTTGATTAGTTATAAGATCTCTTGTAAAGCTTTAGTTTGGTTATACAAGATATTCTATATCTGTTTGAAAGCATTAGTCTGCAGCTTTAAGGATTTTGCTATTGTAATTTAATTAATGCGGAATTGCTTTATTATTGAAGTTAACTGGTTATATTCTTAGTTGCTCTTTTAAGCAGATTCAGCTTTTAAGATCTGCTTAGTTAGTTCAGGCTGAGCTTGCTAATTATGAGTTAACTATTAAGGCAGTTGATAGTACAATAGCTCTATTACTTGTTTTAATGAATTCATTAGTTGATTAGAAGCACTATGCATTGAATGTAGAATAGAAATGAGCTGTATCTGGTTAAGAATCAGCTGAGATAGAAGTATAGAAGGATCTTGGAATTAAGCTTGTTAATAAAGTTGAAGATTAGTAGCACTAGAAGCAAGTTAGTCTTGAATCTCTTTCTGGAGTGCTTTACAATAAACCTTCAACAGCTTTTCCATAAGATAAGGCTACTTCTTGTTGCTAATGCTTTCAGCAGTAATATTATAATTAGCTTGAAAGCGCTTGATTCAGATTAAAAAGAGCTTTATCTATGCTTCTGCTACAGATTAACTGTTTCTAATCTTAAGATGAGTAAGAGCATTGTTATAGTTTACAATGAATGATCAGAAGCTAGCAGCATTGGTAATGAAATAGTTATTAATAATATTTAAGCGCTTCTGCTTGAAGATATACGCCTAGAGATGATTCCAAGAGCAATAAGCAATTAATAGTTGCTTCTTCTATTCATCCTAAGTTTTGATGCTTGTAGTAAATCTCTTTACTTCTCCAGCAATGATTGTATTTGCATAGAAGCCTTTTATAAAGTTAAATACTTGAGTATTATCAATTCCTTTAATCTAATGCTATCAGTTGAATTGCTTCAGCTACAAGAAGACTTCTATACAAGCAAACAACATTAATCTACTATTAGCAAGCTTACTGTAAAAAGGAAATCTGAAGTTCTAACTATAGTGATTGTTAGCTAGATAGTTAGCTGAACTGGATATCTGATTGAAAGAGCTCTTAGATGTGAAGGCTATCTTCCCTCTTGATTATTGCTTCCTCCGATATTTCTTTGCTTTCCTGGTTCGAGATCCTTGAGTTGAGAGTGCTATAGCTGGAATGCTTTCTGTATTCTGCAGAAGACAATACTGTAAAGATCGAGAGAATTCAAATGCTTAAAAGAGATTTAGTCTGTAAGTAAAGCATACATAAAGTTTATCTTGTAATAAATAATAAGAGATTGAATTAGCTATTCTATGCTGCATTAGGATTTCCTTTATTAATAGTTCTGCTAATCAATAGAAGCATTTTTGATTAGATGTAAAGCATTAATTAAAGTTCGATATTAGATGATATTATTATAATTCTCAATCTCTATTCCTTATATATACTAATAGTTTCTCATCTTCACCTTTCTATATTCTTCGCTTTTAGGATAATGTAATCAGCAAGCTTTTAATTCAAAGAATCAATGTAGCTAGATGTATTTAGATAGAGCATGCTGATCAGATTATTGCAAGGAATACAGATCTTATTAATTATGCTACTTTTCTCTGCAGAGTACTATTCATCAAAAGCATCCTACTCTATAATTTAATCATGAACTCATATTCAACATGATTAAACTTTCTGCTATAGCTTGTACAGATCTGAGCTATATCAGCTTCTGTATAGGATTGTTAATTAATGTGAGAAATGTTGGAAAAAGGAATTTGTTTCTTCGTAATATTGACTTGCAGGCTTAATGCATTATTTATCAGCCTATGATTAGAACTTATACTACTCCTCCTCTATCCATCCATCTCCTCTTCACAAGAGGTTTCAGGCATGATTCAGAGTTCAGATATGATATACAGCTTGTCATATAAGCATGATAGATAAAGGAAATAAAAGAGCTTAATAGGGAAAAAGAGTACATCTGTTCATAGAGTAAACTTGCTGCTCTTACTAATTCTTACAAACTATAATGCAAATAGCCCTGAGCTACTAGCCTGAACAGCTAAGTCTATACTTACTGCATCATTGAACCAGAACTAGGGCGCCATCGCCCTCGAAAGAAAAAGGAACAAACAGCTGCCAAAGCAATGAGCAAGAGCTCGTGCAACCCAAGCATGCCTGTGCAGATGAGAACAGCAAACTAAGGCCATACGGGCACAAGAACAGAGTGAAAAACCTGTCTTAGACCTGTCCAAAGGGTTCAAAATTGAAAGGAAGAGAAAGGATGCTTCATTGTTGCTTATAGCTAAAGAATTTGAAAAGTGGGTGGTATCCTTTATATGTATGAGGACCCTTGACCCACTGTACTCCATGTCTCACGGACTACCACCCTGGCCACCACAACACTATCCTTCGTATTATTCCTTATTTACTATGAATGAACAGTAAGGCAGAAAAGGCTAGCTGAGATATAGTTGAAAAAGCATAAATAGCTTACAATGCAGCTAATCTTCCTTTACAGCTGTGGCTGTTTACGATGAAAGCAGCCTACTGTATAATCAACTTTCTTCTATGCACAGCAAATGAGAACAACAAAGCATCTATTCAGTTGTTAGGAGAATGCTTAAATCTTGATAAGGAGGCGATTCCTGATGCTAGCTTCTTCAGAGTTATGAGCAGTGAAGTCTGAATTCATATGAAGAAGGCATATTGCTAGTTGAGCAACAAATACGCCAAAACAAGCATTAAGACTAAGCTTCTCTCCTGAGATATATCTTTAGAAAAGATTGTATAAGTATATAATGCTAAAGCTAACAAGATTTATTGAGCAGTAGCTATCAAGATACGAGAATGTAAAGATCCTTTTCTGAATAATCTAGAGATAGCGGAGATCAAGCATATAGCTGAATTCAGCAATACTTTCATCAAGAACAAGTTTACGAAAATCATAATAATTCTCAAGAAAGCTAATACCCTATCTACTCTTTAAGAGCTTATTATCCAACTAGATATATCTATTGAGAACTAAGAGATCTTAGACTCTCAAGATTATATTCCTGATGCAAGTTTAAATAAGATTCCAATCAAGATTCCAGAAGCTTTCTAATTGCTAAGCTTAGATTGTATCTCTGAGCTAGAAATATATATAAAGATGCAGGGCAGGGAAGGGTCTGAGGAAAGCTAGGAGAATAATCCTCAGTATGGCCTTATAAACAAGATAAAAGCTTAGAAAGAGCTTCTTGGAAATATAATGATAGAGAAATGAAATATAATAAGCTAAGAGGAGGAATCGGTGAAAGAATTATCTAGGATCTTCCTATCCATTGAAAGCCTTTCTTATGATAATATCTTCCAAAGCGTACAAGATGAAGATATTCTGGTTGAGGAGAAGCTTATATCAAGATTCTGTTAATCTCATTCAAATACTCCTCAGATCTCTATGAGGGAACAGCTAAAACGAGCAGCTAAAAGCAAGAACTGCATAAGCTTTCCAGACTTCTTGAAGAGCCTGAATGCTCTCGCTATCAATGCTACTGTTTCTTACAATAGTTATAAACTAATCCTCGAATCCATCAGCTTATTAGCACTCAAGATTCAGCACCTCGTTAATACCAAAACCTTTGATATACTTAAGAACTACAAATAAGCAATATAATCATCTAACTTTAATAAAGCTTGAAAGCTTGCATATAATAAGAGCATTGCCAAACTTGAGGAGAATTATATTTACAATTAGTCAAACTCTAACTCAGATGCAAACATCCTTTCTGCTAAGTAAGTGTTCGATCTCAAGAATAACTCTGAGAACCTCTTGGGAGATAAGAAGATTCCTTGTACAAAGCCTGTTATATGTAGCAATTATGAGATGAAGAGCTGAGCTATGAAGGATATATATTCAGCTATTGCATCTTCAATGAGCATTAAACTCTTTATAGCTTTTATTGCTATCAAAAGCTTAGCTTGAAAGAAGTTTGACTTCGTTGTTGCCTTCCTGAACTCTCTTATCTCTGAGAGCAATAGGATCTTTGTTAAACCTTCTTCTAGCTATGAATGCTGTAATAGCAAGATCTGGCTTATGGTTAAGGGAATGTACAGCATGCAACGATCCCTCCTATAGTGATTTGAGACTATTACACCTTTTCTCAAAGACCTTAGCTTCGAGCTTTTCAATAATAAGCTGTATATCTTCAGAAACGAGAAGACTGAAGTTCTTTTGATTCTCTACATTGATAACATGCTGATAGCTAGCTCTATATCCTCAGATATTAATAAGATTGCTGCTGCTATTAGCAAGCGATTTAATCTTAAGCATTTGGAAGATTCAGAAAAGTTTCTGAGCTTTAATATTAAGAGGAATAAAGAGAATGCAACTATCTTTATCTTGCAGAAGGAATATACCAAAAAGATTGTAAAGCTGTACAGCTTCAAATCCACCAAACTAGCAAAAACTCCTTAGCTTGCTAGCTTTAAACTTCCTAAGAACTGGGAGCTTATGAATGAGGAAATGAAGATATATCAGAAGAAAACTGATGCTCTCAACTAGCTATTAATAAGTATAAAGCCTAACATCATATATACAGTTAATAAGATAGCGAAGAGCAATGTAAGCCTCTCAGCTATGCATCTATGCTTTCAGAAGCATCTCTTCAGATATCTTGAATGCTTTCCAGATCTAAGCATTATTATCAACAGCAAGATGCTAGTAAATAACATTATCAAAGTATATGCAGATGCTTCCTTTGGTAACAACCTCTTAATGCGTTGATCAACAGCAGGATATATCGTTTTCGTAGCTGGTATATTAGTACTGTGGAAATCGAAGGTACAGAACCTCATCACTCTATCCACCACAGAGGCTGAGTTCGTAAACCTCACTCCAGCTAGCCAGGCCTTGCTTTGAATCTAGTTGTTCCTCAAGAAGTTTGGTATACACCCTGAGAAGCCACTGTTATTGTTTACGGATAGCCTGAATGCCAAATACAACGTCTTAAACAGGAATAATGCTGCTAGAACTCGTTACATCGATATCTGGTACAAATGGGTTGTTGAGAAGACAAAGGAGAGCTACTTCAGCATTCAGCACGTAGGCACAGAGGAAATGGCTGCTGATAGCCTGATGAAGCTATTGGAAGCCATCAAATACAGCCAATTCGTCCAGGCCTTAGGCCTCAAACGGTGCTCTGTCTATTGGGATACAACGAATGGATTTGAAATGGGATCTGGTATACGAGATAGAGCGAGGAGGATCTAGAGGATGGAAAACACCATGAGGAGGATCGCCAGCGAGGCTCGCGAGGTTGGCTGAGGGGGTGTGTGCGAGGCCAGGTGAGTCACTGGCCCCACTATCGCCAGCCTACCTCTATAGCCTCAGATAGCCAGCTGTTTTTCCTTTCTTTTCCTTCCTTTTCCTTCCCTAAGCGCAGTCCAATACAGTTCATTTCCCATATTTCTGCATGCTGGGGTTCTCGTAGTTAGTCAAGGGAAGAGATCAGTTTTTCAAGACAACAGTTCATTTGAACATGACACCAGTCTATCCTGCAGATATGATGACTGTGATGTGTGTCAGCATACTTGGTTGTCGTCAAAGCTTAGAAAGATGGAGTTTTGATGCGCATTTGGAGATACTTTGGGCACTTTCCGTCTCTCCAGTTAGCTGGCAAAGGAGTGGCAATAATCATGGAGGCTCTTGATGAATGCTCGCCATGATTATGTGATGGGACTGATGTGTGGCCCTTAGGTAAGTACTCATCTTGTCTCTAGTTGCAATTGCAAAACTCCAGCAGCAGGTGAAATGTGTATAACTATCCACTGGAAGGCTACACAGCATGAAGAAGACAACCTCCTCCTACCTGACAACATAACGAGACAGCGCTCACAATTCACCACTATATTGTAAAATGATTATCCATGTATTAACAGGTTATCATTTGCTTCACCTTGCGACTCCTTCTGCTGACATCTCATGGTTCCGAACATCCAGACAATCGACTCCAAGGCATGGTAAACCTCCACAGATTAGTCGACAATGGCAGTGTCCTTCTACCAGACAGAGTACTGGTAGATAATTTTCCTTTTATTCTCTCTTCTTCCTTCTCCTCTCATTCCAATTCCACCAATCTGATCAATCACATTGTCGAGTCCCTCGTAAGCGACTCCAACATCTTGATGGCATCCGGGCCCAGGGCCGTGTCCTTCCCCCTGATCTCCTCCAAAAACTTCTTATCCTCCTCGCTCAGCTGCAGCGCACCAATATCCTCCGGCGTCAACCTCGTAGCTGCGCCTCTGATCTGCGCCAGGTAGTCCTGGTCCTCATCACTGAGCTCGGGCGTCTCACCAAGATCCACATTCTCATGCACCACAAAGTTCAGCGGCCCACCGCCGTCCCGCCAGGCGGGCGCAGGACCCGGTAAGGGAGGGGAAGTGCGACTCTCCTCCTGGATGTTCTCCAGGACGTAGTCGAGGTCGGGCTTGGTTCTCTCAAAGTCAGGCTCGGCATCGACAGTTTTCTTGCGGGCGAAGTAGCGGTCCAGGTCGGTCGGTTCAAAGTCGGCAAAGTTGGCGCCCAAGGGGTCGCGGTCGAGGAGCCATTTGTAGCGGTGGGGGTTGTTCTGCAGGTAAGGTGGGAGGTCTGGGTTGACCTCGATACGTGCGAGGTGTGTGCGGTCGTAGCTGTGCAGTGAGTTGAGTGGAGTGAACTCTTGTTGTTAGAAGTGGTCATATTTTGAAGGAGGGGCAAGGGGGTCAGGAGAAGTTTCTCCTAGCAAGAAAGATAAAAAGAAGAAGATAAAGAAACAAGGAAAAGTGATGGACTTTGGAGCAGAAATTAAAAACAGAAGACAACTCACAGGTCAATCCCCTTCATGACTTTGGATACCACCCGCCCAGCAGCTTTCCAGCGAGGCCCATCATGCCAGATGACACCCCCCTCGCCCAACTTCACCAGCGTCTCTGAGATGGTCGGATAGCACAGGTGACAGGTCCACCCACCATCACCAAACACATACTCATCCAGGCTGCGCTGTTTCCGCAAATCATCAGGAAGAATCGTGTCTGCGCCTTGATAAACGGTCGCCTGTGGGTGCGGCCACCACTCGTTCCCCTTTTCGCTCTTCTTGTTCTTCTTTTTCCTGTGGCCGTTGGACTGAAGAGCAGGATCAGGGTGCTCCGGCAGCGGCGGCAGTGCCTCTTCCGGGTCCACCAGCAGAGGATCAGGCTTGGCGCCCAGCCCGTCGATCTTCATCCACTGGTAACTATACCAGTATCTCCTGGTGCGGACCGTCGTGCGCTCGGGGATGTCGCAGTTGCGCAGGACCCGCGTGGTGACGGGGCGCAGGACCTCCTCGACGTCCGAGATGAGCAGGACGTCGCCCAGCTGGACCTTTTGCGCGCCTGTCAGTAAGGGGATCACGCGCGTGAAGATGGCGTTGCGCGTGGTGGCGGCGTGGTCGAGGCCGTGCTTGAAGTCGTAGGCGTGCTGGGATAAGGTGTGGCGGATGATCTTGGCGTGGTACGACGAGAGACGGCTGGTCCAGATGCGGTCGAGGAGGGTTGGGGGGTCGATGGAGGGTGGTGGTGCCGAGGGATCCGAAGAGCCAGAGTCTTCTGCCTTTGCAGGAGAAGGTGTCTCGAGGATGATGAAGTAGTCAATGTGTTGGTACATGGATGCGAGTCGGAACTCGAGGAGGTCTGCAGAGGTCTCTGATGTCACCACCAGCAGATCGTATATCCTCCTCTGTCGAGGGGGCCGTGGTGGTGCACGATGAGGAGACGTCGACGACGACGACGACAACGACGACGATGAACCCTCCGCTGCGGCAGAAGCATTATAAGGGGTGAGGTGAAAGTGGAGGCAGAACTTCTCTGCCTCGTCGAGGTTGAGCACCACCGGATCGGATGATGCTGTTAATCCTGTTGCTCCCGTGCCTGCTGCTGAGGAAGAGGAGGGACGAGAATCAACAGCAAGGGCCCCATTGAGTCCTTCCACCGTCGGATCGATGACAATAACGGCGCCTCCTTCTCCTGCTGCGCCATGCTGTTGGAAAGTGTGCGGTCCAATGATCCAGAAGAAGACGAGGGTCAAGGCTGCTATGATAGCTTTCGCCCTGGGACTGTGGGCTACTAATCCAACAGGCACCTTGAAGGGGATTTTGCCTGTCAAGGCCCGCAGCCGCTTGGAGGACGCCTTTACCAGCGACATGATGGTTGATGTGGACGACGCATCAATGTAGGCCCCCTGGATATATGTTTCGACGAGAAGACACAGAGAGAACGAGAATGAGAATGAGGCTTGCACAAGTTGTCTACTACTCCTCGAACAACAGATGGTCTCTCCTTATCAAGGGAGGAGAGATTGAACCTTAAAAGGGCATACTTGGATGCGCTCCAGTCCGTTTCGTCCAGCCACCCGCAGCAGCGCTCTTCTGTGCCGCCCCCTGTCTGGACTGGTTGACTGGCCATGCCATGGGCTGCTAACTGACACCTGCATGTGGTCTATGATCTAGATGCGTAGTAGAAATATTTGTGTTTGTGGCAACGGTAGAAAAAGAAAAGAAAAAAGATTGATGGTAGCAGAATGAGAGGGATGAAAAGAAGAAGGGGGAAAAAGAGGTTGCATTGACCAGGACCTCTATTGAATCAAGTACTATGGTAGTTAATTAATACTATGCCCATACTAAGTGTGATTAAGAAGCAGTAAAAAAATATCATGATACTTTGCTTCCAGTATTCTCCTTAGCAAATTCAAGGCAAAGAGCACCAGGAGTGATCATCCCCGTCGTGACTTGTCATCCTCAGGGCACAGACAGGAAACAGATAATGGAGACTCATACACTCATAGGGATGCAGCAAGGGGGGCGGGGCCTTTTGAGATAAACCCGGTCATTACATGCACCAGGCATTCATTCAATCGATCTATTTTGTCATCCCTGAAGCCAATTCCCAGACCACCTGCTCCGATCCACTCTTGAAGTTTATTTTAACGTACAACCGGCCGGACCCTTGGGCCCACTGCTCTTTTGCCCTGCTTGCTCTACGTCAAAAGATGGAAGGATAGGTAGACAGATAGAATCCCACCTGCAGATAAACATTTCCTTTCCCTCCCACCCTCTCTCTCTCTTTACGCCACTCTCATCACAATCAAATGCCTTGTGAAAATGTTGACGCCAAGGCAAATGGGGGAGGGTGGAGTGGGGGTGTGTCTTCGCTTGGGGCTGATTCAGCTCAATGCAGCAGTCCACAGTCGGCCTCTTACAACGCACCAAAAGGATAAGCCGTAAGCCCTTGGCTGTTTTGTAGCACTTTATTTTGGTATTCTCCGTTCGCCTGTTTGGTCCTGGCTGGTCTGTCAGCATTCGGGGCTCTTTCGAGGGTCACCCATTTGTAGTAAGTCTCAAGCTACCGGGAATACGAAGGCCCAATCCAGCGGTCCGTGACAGGTAAAAGCAATGGTATGTAATCTTTTGGGAATGAGGGACAGTAAATACCGGACCATCGCCCTTCCAAACTTGTACACACCCTCTTCCGTTGCCCTCTCCCTCTCTCTGCCCTTGTCCTGCTTTTGTCTCCCTGATTTGAGGCCGAGAGTTGTCTTTTTCGCTACTTTTACCCGGAGATCCGAACCTCCCTTGCCATTCCTTAGAACTTGTCTCAGTCCTTTTTCAACCCAGCACATCTTGTACTTGGATCGGAAAAACAAGCAGGGCAAGGTACTACGCAGCCATACTCAGGAGGAAAGACTGTCTCGGAGATACAGCGCCCAATCTAGTTCTTTGGGCTGTAATACTTGTTCTAAAGGTGTTCTCTCCTCCTCCTGCCCGGAACAGGTGACCTTCTCACTTGGCGTCGCGCCTCGCATTCCAATCACTCATTCTTCTCTTCGTCTTTCCCAATCACAAGATCATTTCATCATTGTTGTGATTGATTCTCGAACGACAAAGTAAAATCGATATCCCCAAGAAGTTATGCTGTCCACAGACCGCTAGAAGGAGAACATTACTTCCAAAGGAAATAAACCAAAAAAAAAAAAAAAAAAAGAAGATCCTCACGTTGTCACTTCACTTTATTCAATCATAGTACATCCATACCCACAACAACCCCTTGACATGCCTACCGGGGCAATTCCCAGCTCCAAGATGTCGGTGCTGCCCATCACAGAGAAGCTGCTGCCACAGAGGCAGAGCAGCAGTAGCAGCAGCATCACCAGCAACAGCGTGGCCACCGCACATCCGGCCTATTACATCGCGTGCTGGATCTTCTTTTCCAACCTGACCATCCTCTTCAACAAGTGGCTAATAGATACTGCTGGTTTCCGTGAGTATAAATTTCATTTTCCCCCGGTCCCCTCTTCCCTGTCCGTGTCCCTCATCTGAGATGGCTTTCCCTTGTTTTTACTGACCTTTTTTTTTTTCTTCTTTCTCAAACTGCAGCATATCGTGCGTGTAATCCAACTGTGTCGCCCCTCCCTATCTTCTTTCTTTGAACTGACGCAAATGCACCTACTTGCAGCTATATTCCTGACGGCCTGGCACATGATATTCGCCGCAGCCGCCACACAAGTCCTGGCCCGGACGACTAGGCTCCTCAACGGCCGAAAGAGCGTGCAGATGACGAGCCAAAAGTACATGCGTGCCGTCGTGCCCATTGGTATCGTCTACAGCGGGAGTCTCGTCTGCAGTAACCTTCCCTACCTGTATTTGAGCGTGCCCTTTATACAGATGCTCAAGGTCAGTATTTTCTTTTATCTTATTAACATCCTGTCTCTTGTAAACAACACTGACGAGTCGTGTCCTCTTTCTTTTCATTCTCAAGGCCGGCGGTCCCGTCATAGTCCTCTTCGTCTCCTGGCTATGGGGCGTAGCCCACCCGACCCGCACAGCCCTCCTCAAGATCCTCCTCATCGTCTTCGGCGTCATGGTCGCCTCGGTAGGCGAGATCCGCATCAGCTGGCTCGGCGTGTGGTACCAGATGGCCGGGCTCGTGTTCGAGGCGCTGCGTCTGGTCATGATCCAGGTCCTGCTGGCGGGCGACGGGGAGGGCATGGACCCGCTCGTCAGCCTGTACTACTTTGCGCCCGTGTGCGGCGCCATGAACCTGGTGACTGTGTACCTGACCGAGATGCAGTCGTTTGACGTGGCGGATTTTGTGCGGGTGGGGCCTACTATCTTGTTGTTTAATGCTATGGTGGCATTTGGCTTGAATGTGGCCAGTGTGTTCTTGGTAAGCTGATGAAATTCTTCCCATTCTCATCTTGTCCGAGGTGGTCAAAAGCATGCCTACGAAAACAAAGGAAAGAAGACGAAAATGAGTGAGTTGGGTTAAGGATATGTGTTCTTGCTAATCAGAGTTGTATGCACACATGTACAGATCGGCAAGACCAGCAGCCTCGTCATGACACTGTCTGGCATCTTCAAGAGCATCCTCTTGGTCGTCGTCGGGGTTTTGATATGGGGCACGCCGATCGGGTCCCTGCAGCTGTTTGGGTATCTGGTCGCCCTGTTTGGCCTCTTCCTCTATTCGGTTCCGTCGGATCGGATAGGAGACTTTGTTGCATCCGTGAAGAGCCGGTGGTTTTCGTGGGAGTCGGGCAATCGACTAACCCTGAACTGAAGGAGGAGGAGGAGGAGGAGGAGGAGGAGTGGAAGAGAAAGTGTTGCAAGGGATAAGACGAGCTTGATGATTCGCAGAGGGTGAAACAGCCGTTTGTGGTCTTGAAGTGCATATCTTTCCTTGCTCTTTTTTTTTTTTTTTTTTCTTGGATTGGGATGGTTCGTGTTTATTACTGTACGGCGTCCAGGCGTTGGTGGTCTCGTGCTTTTGAATAGTTACTGTTGCGACAGATGCAGCAGCCACTTGGTTCTCGTTATCGTCGTCGCTGTCATCATCGATGTCGTCGAGGATTTGACATGCCTACTTCGGCATGACACGCGGACGAGTCAATTCTACAATCAAATCTTAATAGTTGCCAGAAGGATTCCCTGCAACCAACATCACCACACTGTCCTTGGAAAAGCCTGCAGGCACTTGGAACGAACACCTCTTCTGACTGGTAGCCCAAACAGTTAGCCAGCTAGCTAGCTACTTTGCACATGACGATCTGAACCTGTTGCGCTGCTCGGCTGAGACAATGCCAGGCGAATGGTGGCTGATGACGCGAAAGCTGGTCATGTTCCATGATGGTTGATGACCCTCAATAAACGAGATGGCGCTGTTCTGGGTGTTCTGATTAGCCGACATGTTTTGATTGCATCTTCTCACCAAATTTGTTGACGACGTTCCAGAGCCTCGTTTCTAGAGTCAGTTTATTGAGTCTCGTCTCCTTTGTCAAGATGGTTTTCATTATGGTCTCTCATGCCATTTCTAGGTCTGGTGTAAAAAGACTAAGCACACTCAACGACAACAAAACAAGCAAGTCCCATATCAAATAAACCAAATAGAACCCAAGACAATTCCGATAAAATATTAACCCAACTTTCCCTCAACATTCAATACCCAAAAGCCATGCTGAATACCAAAAGAAGCCGATCTAAACGACGAGGGATGAAGTGCCGACTCAGGACCCAACCGGCAAGCTCAAGCCGGTCTTCCGGCCTTCGGATCGGCCGTCGAGTCCGATCACCTATCGACCAACTACCCGTAGCGGAGCGGGGCTTCTCATTATTGGCGGCCTTGGACTGACTGGTGTGGGACATACCGGCAGAGTTGGTGTTGGGGCCGAGTAGTGGATGAGAATAAGAAGAGGGAGAGGAAGATCCGTGTGTATTTATTTATCTGAAAAGAAAGAGGGAGAGTGAGAGAGGAAGAAAACGACCTCTACATTTCGTGTTCATTTTGTAGTGTTTCCTCTCTTCACGTCAATCTTACCAGTCGTCACTCAGGCTTCCCTCTATGGTAGAATTGGCCAACCCAATTTGATTATACCAAATACCACCATCTATTCATTAACGACCTATCTTTCTCTCGTCCTCTCTCTCTCTTTCTCCACACACACACACACACACACACACACACAACATGCCAGCAGCCACAGAAAGACCGCTACGAATCTCCATAGACCGAGGCGGCACTTTCACCGACTGCATAGCCAAGGTCCGAGGCAGACCCGACATTGTCCTCAAGGTGCTCTCGGTAGACGAGAGGAACTACCAGGATGCGCCGACCGAGGCGATCCGGCTTGTGCTGGAGGAGTTTTACGGACAGCCGATCCCCAGAGGGACCGAGCTGGATCTCAAGGACGTGGGTGAGTTTTTGAAGTCTCTCTGGTGATTAAAGGGCACTCACTGTATTGGATTGGAGAGAAAAAGAAAAGAAAAGAAAAATTGCAAGGAAGAAAAAAAGGGAAAAAAGATAAAGAAAACTATGCATGGGAGACATGAGTATTAATTCTTTTCCCCCCCCCCCCCCCCTTGTACAGAATGGATCAGGATGGGCACAACAGTAGCCACCAACGCCCTCCTAGAGCGCAACGGAGAAAAGACGGCCCTCCTGGTGACAAGAGGCTTCCAGGACGTGCTGGTGATAGGCAACCAGTCCCGCCCCTACATGTTCGACCTCTCGATCCGGCGGCCCGAGGTGCTGTACTCGGACGTGTTCGAGGTGCCCGAGCGTGTCATCCCGGCGACCTGCTTCGACTCGGAGCTGCGCCGGCTGAGGATGCAGCACCCTCGCCAGGAGGCCGTGCGCGAGGTCGTGCAGGCCACCACCACGGGCGAGACGGTGCTGGTGACGGAGGAGCTCGACCAGGACGCCGTCCGCGCCCACCTCGACCGGCTGTACAGGCAGGGGTATCGGTCCGTGGCCGTGTGCCTCATGCACGCGTACATATTCCCGCGCCACGAGCTGCAGATCCGTGACTTGGCCAGGCAGGCTGGGTTCGAGCACATCTCGCTGTCGCACGAGGTCTCGTCGCGGTCCAAGATCGTGCCCCGGGGCAACTCGGCCGTGGTGGATGGCTACTTGACCCCTTCCATCGAGCGGTACCTGCGCACCTTCAAGGCCGGTTTCCCCAGCCTTGATGGCGACCGTGATCGTGATCGTTCTAGTGTCGGTGGTGGTGGTGGTGGTGCTGGCGGCGGTGGCCGTGGTGGTGCCAGGATCGAGTTTATGCAGTCCTCTGGCGGTCTGGTGCCCTCGTCTGCCGTGTCGGGCCTGCACTCGATCCTGTCTGGTCCTGCCGGCGGCGTGGTGGGCTACGCGGTGACCTGTTTCGACAGCCACACGAGGACGCCCGTCATCGGCCTCGACATGGGCGGCACCAGCACCGACGTGAGCCGGTTCGACGGGGAGCTGGACCACGTCTTCGAGACCACGACGGCGGGGATCCCGATCCACGTGCCGCAGCTCAACGTCAACACGATTGCCGCGGGCGGTGGCAGCGTGCTGGGCTGGCGAGACGGCCTGATGACCGTGGGGCCCGAGAGCGCGAGGTCGTTCCCTGGCCCGGCCTGTTATCGCAACGGCGGCCCTCTGACGGTGACGGATGCCAACCTCGCCCTGGGCAGGCTGCTTCCAGAGTACTTCCCTTCCGTCTTTGGGCCTGGGCGCGACCAGCCCCTGGACAGGGACGTCGTGCTGGCCCGGTTCCAGCAGCTCACCGAGACCATCAACCACGACACGGGCAAGGCCCTCAGCTGGGAAGACGTGGCCGACGGGTACCTGCAGGTGGCCAACCAGGCCATGTGCGGCCCCATCCGCAGCCTGACCGAGGCCCGGGGCCACGAGGCCGCAGCACACCACCTGGCGTCGTTTGGCGGCGCCGGAGGGCAGCACGCGTGTGCCGTGGCGGAGATGCTGGGCATCCAAAAGGTGCTCGTGCACAAGTACTCGTCCATCCTGTCGGCGTACGGGATCGGGCTGGCCGACGTGGTGCGCGAGGAGACGAGGCCGTGCAACAAGAATGTGGACGAGGCGGGCGCGGCGATCCGGGCCGAGATGGACGGGCTGGCCGAGACGGCGAGGGCCCACGAGTCGATGAGGAGCTTTGAGGACGGCGTGGTCGAGGTCAGGAGGTACCTGAGCATGCGCTACGACGGCAGCGAGACCAGCATCATGACCTCTGCGGACCGAGACATGGACGAGGCCAAGGCTGCGTTTGTGAGCACGCACCATCGACAGTTTGGCTTCACGCCTGCGGGCAGGGCCATCTGGGTCGATACTGTGCGTGTGCGTGCTGTGGCGAGTGGGAGACGGTACTTTACCCAAAAAGACCCAGAAGAGAAGATGGTGGCTGGCGACGAGGAGTTGTTGTCCACTGGTGCTGGTGCTGCTGCTGGTGCTGCTGCTCCTGGTGCAGTTCCTGCAGAGCCAACCCCAGAACAAACACGTCCTGTACGCTTCGCATCTCTCGGCTGGGTGGTCGACACGCCCGTCTACACCCTCCATGCCCTCCAGAAATCCCCTGCCTCCAAGGTCCGCGGTCCTGCCCTCATCGTCGACAAGACCCAGACCATCGTCGTGGGGCCCAACTCATCCGCCAGCTTTGCACCAGAAAGAGACCTTCTCATCATTGACGTCCAGCCAGAGGTGTTGGTCCCAAAACAACAACCTCATGCTCCTCCTGCTCCGCCAACTTCTTCTTCTTCTTCTTCTTCTTCTTCTTCTTCTTTTTCCTCCTCCTCTTCCTCCTCTTCTTCTTCTTCCTTTTCACAAGAAATCGAACCAGTCAAGCTCTCCGTCTTCCGCCACCGCTTCTTCGGCATCGCAGAACAAATGGGCCGCGTCCTCCAGATGGTCAGCGTGAGCGCCAACATCAAGGAGAGGCTCGACTTCAGCTGCGCCATCTTCACCGCCGACGGCCACCTCGTCGCCAACGCCCCCCACGTGCCCGCCATGATCGGCAGCATGGCCTTTGCCGTCAAGTCGCAGATCGCAGAGTGGAAGGGCAGGCTCCGCGACGGCGACGTGCTGCTGTCCAACTCGCCCGCCTACGGAGGCGTGCACCTCCCAGACCTGACCGTCATCACGCCCGTGTTTGCCTCCTCCGACATCATCTTCTGGACGGCCTCGCGCGGCCACCACGCCGACGTGGGCGGGATCCTGCCTGGGTCCATGCCGCCCACCTCCAAGCACCTGTCCGAGGAGGGCGCCGTGTTCGACTCGTTCCTCCTGGTGCGCGACGGCCGTTTTCACGAGGACGAGCTCCAGCGCATCCTCTGTGTCGAGCCCGCCCGGTATCCAGGCTGCTCCGGCTCGCGCTGCTTCCAGGACAACGTGACCGACATCAAGGCCCAGGCCGCTGCCAACCACTGCGGCATCCGTCTCGTGCGCAAGCTCATTGACGAGTACACCATGCCCGTCGTGCAGCTGTACATGGGAGCCATCCAGGATGCCGCCGAGCTGGCCATTCGGAACCTCTTTAGGTCTCTTGCTTCTTCTTCCTCTTCTTCTTCTTCCTCTTCTTCTTCTTCCTCTTCTTCTTCTTCCTCTTCTTCTTCTTCTTCTTCTTCTTCTTCTTCTTCTTCTTCTTCTTCTACTACTACTACTACTACTACTACTACTACAGGCGCCAGATCGCATGCCCGTCTCGAGGCCACAGACTTCATGGACGACGGCACCCCCATCACACTCACCGTCCTCATCGACCCCGACACAGGCTCGGCCACCTTTGACTTTACAGGAACGGGGCCCCAGGTCCTGGGCAACTGGAACGCCCCCGAGGCCATCACCCACTCGGCCGTCCTGTACGCCCTGCGCTGCATGGTGGGCAACGATATTCCCCTCAACCACGGCTGCATCAAGCCCATCACCCTCGTCATCCCGCCCCTCTCCCTGCTCAGCCCCCACCGCGACGCCGCCGTCTGTGCAGGCAACGTCCTGACCTCGCAGCGCCTCGTCGATGTCATCTTCAAGGCCTTTGGCACCTGTGCCGCCAGCCAGGGCTGCATGAATAACTTTACCTTTGGCGTCGACAACAACAACAACAACAACAACAACAACAACAACAACAACAACAACGTCCAAGACGACAATGACGACGACAACGATGACGACAACAAAGACGACAAGATTGGCTTTGGCTACTACGAGACCATCGCAGGAGGCAGCGGCGCAGGCCCCCACTGGAACGGCACCAGCGGCGTCCACACCAACATGACCAACACCCGCATCACCGACCCAGAGAGCCTCGAGCGCAGATACCCCGTCCTCCTGCGCCGCTTCGCCCTCAGGCCCGGAACAGGCGGCCGAGGCGCCCGGCCCGGCGGAGACGGCGTCGCCAGGGAGGTCGAGTTCAGGGTGCCCATGACCGCCTCCATCCTGAGCGAGAGGAGAAGAAGCTTTGCGCCGTACGGGATGCGCGGCGGCGGCGACGGGGCCAGGGGCCTGAACACCTGGGTCCGGAACAACGGCGTGCGCGTCAATGTTGGTGGGAAAGGGTCTGTCAGGGTGAGTGCTGGGGATCGGTTTGTGGTGGAGACGCCTGGTGGAGGGGCTTGGGGTGCTCTTGATGAGGACGAGGATGGTAAAGGACAGGAGAAGATGGCAATTGGGAGACAAGATGGACAGGGTGAGAGGCCGTTTGTGCCTCTTGCGAGTGGATCTATTGCTGCGAGGATAGATCTTGCGGATCAGGTCTAGATAGGAGCTTCAGGAAGAGTAAATGTCCTGTCTGTACATTGAGTATGTCAGCAATGGCATGGAGGAAGAAGCAGAAGAGCAGATATACAAGATGATATACAAAACACAGCGCTTTGCAACTTACCTCTACTGAAATGCAAGAAAAGAAGGAAGAAAAAGACATCTACAGGCGGCGTGCCTAGATGAGAGTAGTCCATGGAATGTGTTCCTCAAGTTGTGCTCAACGGACGATGGTGAATGAGTGGCTGGAGCAGCGTCATGGCCGATGGATTATTTTGATCTCAAAGCAAGACAAGCAAAGCCATCTATCTTTTTTCTCTCTCTCTCTCTCTCTCTCATCCTTCTTCTAAGCTCACTCGTCCTAATGAATCCGCTCAGCCAGAAAGAAAGCAGAAGAAAAAAGAAAAAAAAGAAGAAACACCATAAACATGCCTGACTCCATGGGAGGAAAGCAAGATTGCTCTTTTATGAAAAGCATACCGTGCAATCATCATACAATCCTTGCCCATCCGCTCGCTGCCTGTTTTGTCGCTCATCCATTAAGAGGAAATATATTGGAACAAGAATACTCTTTTCTGCTTGCCATCAGCATCATCATCATCATCACGTATCATCAAATGCTCCCTCTTTCCAGTTCCCGTGTCCTGCACCTCCAGCCCCGGCCACACCTCGTCCAGCACCACCACCACCAGCCGCCCCAGCCCCCCCAGCCGCCGCCGCCGCCGCCGCTGCTGCTGCAGCAGACTGGCCAAAGTTGGTGGCATGCTGGTCCGCATCAGAACTGCCCATATAGTAGAGCGAAAAGAACACCAGCAGGTGCAGTGCGACGCAGTACGCGGCGAACAGGTTCCTGCTTGTCCGGGTTGCCAGCACCGTCCGTGTGATGGTGTAGACCACGCGCTCCGGGAAGCTCATGCGCTTGTATGCCCGCGCAGACTCTCTGCCTCGGAACGCCGCAAACGGGCTGATGTTGGACTCGTATGCTGAGCGGTACCGGTCCATGCCTCCTCCTCCCACCTCTCCAATGGCGCCACCGCCACCAATGGCCACCGTCGACGGATTTGGGTTGTCCGCGTACGAGGACGACGAAGACGTCACCGCACCGGCCGTGTTGTGGCTGCTGCGGTTGTACGTCGAGACATAGCGCGTCTTCTCGTACAGGTTAAGGTTATCCTTCTGCAGGGCGGCGATCTCCTGCCGCAGCTGGGATACGGTCCGGTGCGTGCCCGACAGCTCCTGTTCCAGCTGTGCGTTGCGCTTCTTGAAGCGGTCTCGCTGCGCTGTGATCATCGGCAGGATCCCTCCTGACCCGCCACCAACACCGCCCATCGGCTCGCTGCTCATCGCGTCTCTTGGGTGGAAGCCACTGATAATGGACGACGTGGGTGATGTGCGACCTCCGCCCCGCCGTCCCCCTGCCACAGACGGCGCGTAGCGGCTCACATACGTGCCTGCGACCGACGCCCCTGACGAGGGAAGAAAGGCGCTTGCCTGTGACTGCAGGCTGGACAGGTCGTTCTCCAGCTTCTCGTTCAGGTTCTGTGACTTCTCGAGCTCCATGTTCGTGCCTGAGAGCTCCTCCTGCAGGTCCGACAGCCTGCCCTGCAGGTCCTGGTGCGACACCCGCAGGATCGTCAGCTCCTCGTTCAGCTTCTTGTTCCGCGACAGCAAGAGCTGCTCCAGCGTGTCGCCCTTGCCCTTGGCGCCGTTGCCGTTCGCCTCGTCCACCAGGTCCTTGGCCTCGTCGTCATCGCCTGTGGAGAACTCGATGCTCTTCAGCACCTCCAGTTCCGACTTGATATCCTCGTAGTCGCTCCACCTCTGCACCTTTGCCTTGACCGCGTCCCGCTCGTCCTTGAGCAGCGCCACCTCCCTTTCCAGGCCGCGCAGTCTCGTGTCCAGTTCTCGTTTCAGGTTCTCCTTCTCGACCCTCGAGGCGTCCAGTTTCCGGATCATGGAAGAATTCTCCGACCGCATGCGCATGTATCCAGGGTCGTCTTCCAGTGATGTGGTCTGCTGGCTTGAGGCCTGGGATTTGGCCTGCGCGAGCTCGAGCCGAAGCTGCTCGTTCCGCGCCTCCACCTCGGCCAGCCTCACGCTCGTTCTTTCCAGGTCCGAGTTGACCATGTCCAGCTCGGCGCTTGTGACGTGACCTCTAGGCTCGCCTTCTGGGTCCTCTGACCTGCCCAGCCGCTGGTTGACCTCGTAGCTGGCCTTGATCTCGTTCAGGAGGCGCTCCTGGTTCTCGACCTTGTCCTCCAGCGCCTTCTCCTTGGAGGCCCAGTTGTCCTTCTTCTCATCCAACACCGCAATCCAAGACGACTCGACCTCCTTGACCTTGCCCTCGAGGTTCTCTTCGAGCTGCTTCCGGGCCTCCCTCTCGGTCTGCAGCCTTGACTCCGTCTCCTCCAGCTGCGACGTAAGCCCGGCCACTGAGCTCTGCAGCCGCTGGTTCTCTTCGGTGACCTTGGGCAGGGTGTCCTCGGCCACCAGCATAGAGTCGACAGCCGCCTCGAGCAGGGGATATGGGTCTGGCGCCTCGGAGAGGGATGTGTATGCCTGGAGGAAGGCCGAGTTGATCGATTTGGAGTGGTTCGTCAGGAGATCGATGAAGGTCTGGTATGCCTTCAGGAGACCCTTCACCTCAACTAGCTTGGTGGCATCATCGAGCTTTCTAAAGTCTTTTGTCTTCTGCGCCAGGTCCTTCCTCTGCACTGTGGAATCTCGTTGGTATGCCACTATTTCGGAAGCCGTGTTGTCGAGGGTGGAAATCATAGTGGTCATATCGATATCTGGAAGCAATGCACCCGTCAGCTATGCCCACAGGCCGATGTAGGGTGCCTGCGCGAGGTCAACGACATACTCCTCCATGCCGAGATGGCCGCCTGGAATTTGTTATTTGTCTCTGGAGCCGAAGCGGCGGCGGCGGCGGCAGCTGCCCCAGAGGGAGCTTGGGACGACGCCGCGTCGGCCATGGTTCCCGGTACTTGGCGAGTTCAGAAGGAAAGGTTAAAGATTGTAGGTTGCCCAGCTCAATCAGCAGCTGAAGCTCATGGCAAGCATGAAAGTGATAGCAGCGCAGCAGTGAGTGTGTATATGTGTGTGTGCTCTCGCGGTTTCGCTGTGGGAGAAAGAAAGATGCGACGAGAAATGCTGGACGTGTTCTCTCAAGGGTCTCTCTGTCTGTTGCGTTTGCCGTCTAAGCCGCAGTGAGCGACACGCAGCAGTAGCAGCAGTGCTAAATCTGGGGTACCCAAGCACACCAAGGTTGCCTGCCAGGGGGGCGGGGGTGGTGCCTGCGCAGGGACGGATTTAGAGCGTGTTGATGGTGGTGCTATGGTAGCTGTACAGTGGTACCACCTTGCAGGAGCTACGTAACCTGGACCCCCCAAAGGACCAGGGGGGCTCTTGAGTGCTGTTCCCTGTCGGCAGCAACCTCAGCTCTGGGTGCCCATAGTAACACACTACTATGGTACTACTCGTATCAAGCATTCTGCCCACCAGATAACTTGTTACTTCCAGGGCGGCTTCCGGAAACCCACCCTCACGACTTGCCGTCTACAGAAACACGAGACAACCGACTCTTCACCTCCCCCCTCCCTCCTCCTATTTGCTGTCTATAAAAAATGTTGATGCGGCATTGGCGATGACATTGCGATCCCAAAGATGGGAGGATTCGACCCTCAAAAACCAAAAGCTGGAGGTGTCAGCTCGGGGGGCGCAACAAGCTGGGACTCGTACGCTGAGACGGGCCCGTTTGTCCTGCGCACGCTGCTTGACGATGTGCCCCTGTCTGAGGATGGCGATAATGACGATGTAAAGATCAATTGCGTTGACTATCTCGGTGAGAACCCTTTCTATCTTTTCTTTTTCGACTCCTAAGGCCCCCCTCTCTTTGCTCGTCCAGAAATTGAACGGTCAACTGACTGTTCATTTTCCCAAAAAGGCGGCAACCTCTACATCGGCACTTCTGCCTCGGAACTTCTCCATTTCGTCCAGATCCCTCCCGACCCAGCCGATAAGAACAGCCAGCCTGTCTTCATCCTCGCCTCGAGGCTGCGGCCGACATACACCGAGACTTCTGTCGCTGGGGCCGTGAAGCCTGGGGTCCAGCAGATCCTCCTGCTGAACAAGGTGCAGAAGGCTTGTATCCTGTGCAACAATACCGTCACATTCTACTCTCTTCCAGAGCTGAGCCCTGTGTTCGGCACGGTCCGGGTTAAGAACTGCTACTGGATAGGAGGTCTGGACTTGAACCTGCTCGAGGAGGATGCAGGGGAGGCCCACGATGACCACCAGCGCCCCAGTGGAGAGACCATTATGCTGTCTCTGGCCAGAAAGATCCAGGTTGTCCGCGTGGGAGATGATGCCAGGGTTTTCAAGCAGATCGACTTCTCTGGGAGCACCATATCGGTCCGGCGCGACTCGATCGCCTGTGTGGCTGACTCCAGGAACTATGCGCTGCTGGATGTCGACCGGCAGCTAAAGATTCCACTCATGGCCATCTCCTCTCTCGACGACTCGCAGCCAAACATCGGCCAGGCCCAGAATATCGCTGGCAACTCTGACGTTGGGATTCTGCGAAGCTCTTCCTCGGCGCAGCCTCGGCCTTTGAGCTCTGCGCAGGGTGAGGCCCAGGGCCACAGTCGCAGCACGAGCCTTGGCGGCTTCATGTCACATGCCATCAGGAGACAAGGCGGCAACAATTCTGGAGACGGTGGCCAGCACGAGTCGGATGCTCAGGGCTCTGATTCGCCACGTCGCGCAGCAAGTCCAGACAAACAGCAGGGCAGCAGAAGCAGCAGCACCCAGGGGCTCGCCGGCTCCATGGACAAGGCTCTGCCCAACCCTCCCGACGCGGATACTTTACAGGTTTCCAGACCGCCACATGTCGGCCCCCCAAAGGCAGCTGCTGCCCCAGTGATATTGAAACCACATATTGTGTCCCCAACGCCTGATGAGTTCCTACTTGTGACTGGCACTGGACCTCAGGACCCCGGCATCGGCATATTTGTGAATCTTGATGGCGATCCTACAAGACCGACTCTTGAATTTGACAAATATCCCAAGGAGATCGTCGTTGATGGAGGGGGCGCTGACATGTCCTCATCAAGGCCCTCTCTAGGAGAAGAAGAAGAGGGATACGTTCTCGCATCACTGACAAGACAGTTCGAAGACGGGCTCCATGCCGGTCTCGAAGTGCAGCGATGGGACCTCAACGTGGGCGAAGGAGAGCCTCAGAAATTCTGGCTCGAGCCTCCGACATCGACGACGAGAAGCGCAGAAGGCACCGATAACAATCCTCCCACACTGGGCATCCGATTACTCAGGAGCAGCGAGGAGTCAAATCTCCAGGGAGTGGTGGACAGACTCTGCCAAAAGAAGTTCTCTCCATTTTCCATAGGGCAACAGCAGCTTGAGTCCTCGGCCATGTCGCTGAGGAGTGTCGACTCTCGGACCGCTCTCTCCCTCGAGAGGCTGAACAAGGAAAGAGAGCTTTTTGAGAGAGACGATGACGAATCATCACCGTTACCAGAGGGCTGGGAGGCGATGCGAAACGAGGAGGAGGAAGCCTTTGCAAGGAGATTTGCAAAGACCACCTCCCGGCTGGCGGTCTGGTCTGGCAACCGCCTGTGGTGGGCAGTGCGGAACCCGCTGCTCTTGCAGCTGGACGCAGGCATCGCATCCACCGCCATGGAACAGCACGCACCGCCTCACACAGCCGAAGAGCGCCGCCAGCTCTTCTCTATCCTGGCGACCATACGTGGACGCGACCCAACAACCGAGCTGGAGTTCATGACGTTCAACTACATCAAACAAAGAGCAAGTGTGCTCCTCTTCACGAGCTTTCTTCACTCGCAAGACACGGCATATCCACCTGAACTCAAAGCCATGGAAGAGGTTCTACTGGACTCGAATCTCGATCCTAGAGTCATCCTTGGTCTCATTCCTGGCCTGCGGAACGAGATCCTCGAGCCTAAAAAGGGTATATGGGTATCGGGAGGCGTCAAGGGAACTGTGGAGAGGTATATGGCATCAGAAAAGTCTGGCCAGATTGGCCGCAGCGTTAGTGACCTGGCGGAGTCGACCTTGCTCTTTGTCAAGTCGTATCTCTGGTCAACCAGGAGGAAGAAAGGTCTCGCCAGCACCGGCAACGAGGGCGAGGTATTTAGGACCGTCGATGCTGCACTGCTGGTAGTCCTCCTCGAGCTCGATAAGGACTCGGCGCCCGGCCTGGGCAAGAGCGGCAGCATTCGCTCCGAGCTGTATGAGCTTGTCGATAAGGGTGTCGACTGCTTTGACCGGGCCGTGGACCTGCTCGAGTCCTATCACCGGCTCTTTGTACTGAGCCGTCTCTACCAGAGCCGTAAGATGGCGTCTGACGTCCTATACACGTGGAGGCGGATCATCCAGGGAGAGCAGGACAAGGGTGGCGAGCTCAGGGACGGGGAGCTGCGGGTCCGCGAGTACCTGTCCAAAATCAGCAGCCAGCCCATCGTCCAGGAGTATGGCCTCTGGCTGGCGAACCGCAACCCAAAGCTTGGTGTGCAGGTCTTTGCAGACGACAGGGGCCGCGCCCCCCAATTCGAGCCCGCCCAGGTGGTCGCCCTCCTCCGCGACGAGGCGCCCGATGCCGTGAAATACTACCTCGAGCATCTTGTCTTTGGCAAGGGACACACAGCCTACGTCAACGAGCTCATCACATACTATCTCGACATCGTCATCAACCAGCTCAGGTCATCTGCCCCGGCAAGGGAGGCCATGGCGAGCACATATCTGGCGTACAGAGCACTGCGGCCGCCCAAACCAACCTACAGACAGTTTCTCCAGGAGAACGCGCCACCCGAGGATGAAGCCTGGCAGGGCCGACTGCGGCTCCTCCAGCTCCTCGGCGAGACGCACGAGTACGACTTCAAGGCCATCCGGGCGCGCATCTCCGACGCCCTGCCCGCCGCCCGAGCAGAGGAACAACTCCTCGTCCCCGAGACCATCATCCTCGACGGACGCGAACGCCGACACGAGTCCGCCCTGCGCCTCCTCGTCCACCGCCTGGGCGACTACGACACGGCCGTGTCGTACTGCCTCCGCGGCGGCGCGAGCATCTACACGCCGCACCCAGGCCGACGAGCCTCCATGCCCACCGAGGACACACAGGCAGGCCTCTTCCGTGTCCTGCTCCGCGAGTTCCTCGCCATCGAGGATGTCAGCGACCGCGTGGAACAGACGGGCGCCCTGCTGGAGCGGTTCGGCGGCTGGTTCGACGTCATGGAGGTGCTGGAGCAGATCCCCGAGGGCTGGTCCGTAGAGGTCGTCGCCGGGTTCCTGGTCACTGCGCTCCGGCGGATGGTGTCTGAGCGGCACGAGGTGGACATTGCCAGCCGCCTGAGCTCGGCGGAGAACCTGCGGGTGAACTGGGACCTGCTGATGAAGATTGACGAGAAAGGCCCGACGGTCGAGACGGGAAGTTGAGGAGGCCCGGGGTTCCCTCCTCTATCTCTCTCTCTCTCTTCCCCTCTCTCCCTTTCTCTTTTTGTATAATGATGATTTATGTAATTTCTGATCTTGGCTCCCAACCTCAATGCAAAGAAATGTCATGGCTCTTTGGAGCGCAATTCAACAGTATGGACATGCACAACAGAACATATATACAAACGACCCTATGACCGGAATCCCCCGCGTCAAGTTGACCAGCTCGACCACACATTCTTTTCTGTGTTCTATGTCGGATTGTGCTACTACTTCTACCACCACCACCACCACCACCACCATCACCACTGCTACCCTTTCCCGTCGTCGTAAGGGTGAACTGAAGAAGGAGAAAGAAGTAAGAATCAAGTCCACCATACAAGACACAACAACAGTTGCTGATGGAGGGATTTCCAAAGAGCTCTGACTTGATTAGACCTTAGGATCATGAGGGTTGGTGCAGAGGTTGTGGCGCTGAGAAATGGGCACAATACTTTTCTCCTAGTGATAAGTCTCCTAGTGATAATGATGAAGAAAAGATGCTCCATGAATTGGTATTCGCCCCTAGTGTCGCTATCGCTTATGAAGGAGATGATTATTTCCATAATACACAAACACAGTCTCTCTCACAGCCAATCCTGCCCAGCCGGGCCCACTTCTCTCTCTCTCTCTCTCTCTGTCTCTCTCTCAAGACTCATCATCATCGTCCACATCCTCCGCAGTGGCTGCCACCGGGCCCTTACCCCTTGTTGCTGCGGCTGATGATGAAGAGCCACCCTCGTTCTCCACGGTTTCCTCCTCGTGAGCGGCGGCTGGGGTCCCATTGTCGTCCTGGGATTGGATGCCCGTAACGAGTGATCCGCTGCTGCCGTTTGCGCCACTGCTGCTGAAGAGCTGCGCTGGCCCACCCCAGTTAGGCAGCACCGGTGTGGGCGCTGCGACTTGGACTACCGGTGCCTGTGCTGGTGTAGTAGACATCACAGCCTCAGGCGCATCTTGGCTAGGAGCAGGAGCAGCAGCAGCAGAAGCAGGAGCACCGTGTTCGCCTGCTGTAGCGGATGCCTCGGTAGGGCCGGATCCCTGAGACGGTGCGGCAGAGGAGTGCTGCGCCGGGTCCTGGTTGTTCACTCGCACGCTGGGATGTAGAACAGCCTGGAGATTAGGAGGTATCGCAGCCTGCTCCAGGCGTTGAAGGGGAAGGAGAGACCATCCTTGAGGGAGGACGACGCCCTCAGGGAGGTCCGGGCTGCCAGCTGGGATAGTGGTACCACTTGGTGGTATGCTGTGACGGATGGCATGGGGTGGTGAGCTCGAGCCCATTCTGAAGTTGAAATGAGGGCCAGCAGCGGGAGGTTGGAAAGGCGGGAGAGGATATTGAGCGAGGGGAGCGTATGGGAGCTGTGGGCCGCCCATCATCATTGGAGGAGGAGGAAAATGAGGAGGCACCATCGGAGGAGGAGGAACAGGAGGAGGAATTTGCCCCGCGGCGCTACTGCCAGCAGGAGGTTGAGCCGCGGCGGGTGTTGGTGCCGTTTGGCCATTCTGGACTGAAGAGGTGCCTTGTTGCTGTTGTGATTGCTGCTGTGGTTGTGGAAGTTGTTGTTGCTGTTGTTGTTGTTGTTGTTGTTGTTGTTGTTGTAGTTGGTCCTGGCCCTGAACCTGTCGCAGGCGCAGGATCTCAGATAGAAGATGGTTGATCAGGTGAAGCTCATGCTGGGCCGCCTGGACATTCTGCATGCCATTCTGTAGGTCGCGAACCTCTTGTTGGATTCTCTGATCGACCTCCAAGAGCCTATTCCGGACAGCCTCCATGGATGAGAGGTCCGCGGTTTGGGCGGCCACTGGGGGGTTGTTTGCCTGCGGTATAACGCGTCGTAGGTTGGCCTCATTTATCTCGACGCCCATGCGGTTCGCGAGCTCTGCGACCTCCTGTCCACCCTGCGCAAACCCTAGGCGGATCGGTCCAAGGTTGATGTATCTCATGGCGTTCCTGGGCGCTGCAGGCTGCTGTGGGCCTCCCTGCCCGGCCTGCCCGTTAAGCTGTGCACCCTGCACGCCGAGGGGTGGTCCGTTTTCTGCTGCTGCCGCTCCGGCCTCGTTCTGCTGCCCATTGTTCGGGGCGATGTGGAAGGCCATCCGGTGCCGATATGGTGGACGCTGCTGATCAGCGACGACAGAACTGCGGCACGTTGGGCAGACCTGTTGTCGCTCCAGCCAGCTCTTGAGGCAGCCAAAATGCAAGATGTGGCCGCAGGGAAGCTTCTTGGGTCGGTGTCTCTCGAGCTGTCCGGCGTTGGGGTCCCAGGGCCGCATCTCCTCCCGGCAGATGATGCACGTGTCCTCGTGTCCGAGCTCGTCCTGGCTGGCGTCGGGGTACCGGTTCATGTCCCTCAGTGCCTGTTTGTACTTTAGGAGCGCACTCAGGCGCTTGACGAAGCTCCTCGCGGTCATGAAGAGATCTCGCATGATGTGAATCGGCAGACCGTAGAACCTGAGAAGGACGCCGAAGAAGGCAACGTAGACTGAGAGCTTGAGGAAGTCTGCCTGCCGAGTTAGAGAGAGAAAGAGAGAGCGAGCCAGCCAGCTGGTAGTAGTCCTCCAGACACACACCAAAAAGGAAGAAGAAAAAAATGAAGACGTACCGGCAAAAAGGTCCAGGAACAAGACCCACTGCCCCTTGGCCTCCCACCCTGGAACCTCAATGTCCATCTCCTCGACTTCATCCGGGTCGGGCAGAGGATCACCCTCGCCCTCTTCTAACTCGCCAGACTCCCTCCTCCGCAGGATGTCGTCCCTCTCGCGGCGGACCTCGTCCCTCCTCTGGCGCAGCCGGAGCCTGGTCTGCTTCCTGACGACGCTGGCCTCGACGAGCGAGATGACGTAGCGCAGGGCGGTGTGTAGGGAGCCGACGACGAGGACGGCGAACTCGAACAGGAACATGACCATCATGGTGGGCTTGGCGACGGCGATGACGGTGTGGATGGAGTAGCTCAGCAGCCAGCAGTTGTAGGCGACGCTCGCGGCCAGCGACACGACCAGGCGGGTGTGGAACAGGCGCGGGTTAGCGGGCGGCTGCTGCTCGAGCACCTCGACGCGGCCCTCGCCAATCCAGCCCCAGACCTTGCCCGTGATGAGGGCGGTGAACATGACGAGGAAGAAGGCGCCGACCTCCTCGCGGAACACGGTCATGGCCAGGCACGTCTCCGTCACGGCAAACCACGCCTTCTCGTACAGCTGCTCCACCTCGACGGGGCGGAGGGTGCCAAAGCACAGGCGCTGGAGGCCGTACATGAAGGAGCCGTACGCGAGGAAGACGAGGTTGACAAGAATCATCAGGCACAGGTTCGACTGCGAGAGGTACACCATGGCCGAGTAAAAGTTGGCCCGCTGCCAAAAAGCCGACGTGACGACAGCTGCAGCCAGCGCCGCCGAGGTGCCGGCGTACACGGCGAGGCGCATCGTGTTTGCGTGTGTGTGTGCGTGCGTGTGTGTGTGTGTGTGTGTGTGTGTTGTGTCTGTGTTGTGTCTGTGTCTGTGTCTTTGGGTGGGGATGATGTGTGTCGCGTAAGGAAGGCGGAAAGTTCGGAGCAAGTTCGATTCGGCGGGACGAGAGTGGTTCGTTGCTGGATCAGAGACGGAGACAAAGAACCGAGCAGATTAGACACGAAAAGAGCGTAGAGAACGTCGGAAGAAGAGGGGAGGAGGGGGGTTTGGCTAGGTGCCCATAGTTGCGTCGTAAGGACTGGAGGTTGGGTTGATTGTGATTGTAGGAAGGAAGAGGACGAGGAGGAGGGTGAGGGGAAGCAGGATGGTGATGGTGATGGCGATGGTGATTGCGGGTAAGTATGCCTGTACGGCCTGTACTCCTTCAGAACTAATGCCACGTTGATCATCCAGAACGTCGTCATGGCATATTCCTTTGTTTGTAAGGTACACAAGGTAGGGGCTTACCAACTAAAACGGCCCGAGAGACAGGGGTAGCTCTTACCATTCGATTGTTACGGATTAGTGAGTCAGCTCTCTGTCTAGGGTTAGGGTTTACTTCCAAGTCAAAAAGGTGATACTTAGAAGTCACACAAAAAGGCCCCAGCATTTCACACGCAGATGTGACAAAGTGGTGATATCCAAGACATTATTTATTCTTTTTTTAGAATTCAAGAGTATTATCACTCCCATCATAGTCGCTTACACTGTATATAAAATAGCAAGAGTAGAGGGAGCAGAAGAGTAACAAGAAAAATTAAAATCATCAAGTCTCGCACCTTTCCAAAGGGCCCCATTGGACATGCATTTCTTTCCCGTCTTTCCCAAGACCCTGCCACAGATGATAAACCGTCCCAAACAAGAAGAAGTAAGGACAGAAAGAAGCCTTAAAAAAAATTCAAAGGCTATATAACAATGTACCCGGGTATCGTCGCTACAAGTGTTCCTTCCATAGAGGGTGGGCAGTATGTGTGAGGTTGTGTGTGTGTGTGTGTGTGTGTGTATGTGAGAATAAGAAGTGGTGGTGTGCCCCAAAAATCAACCAGTTCTTTTTTTTTTGTTCTTTTTGTAATCGCCCGTGTCCCAAATAACCATGCCTGACTCGTCGCTTTGTTGAACAATACATATAATGCAGATAGAGAGAGAGAGAGAGAGAGAGAGAGAGAGAGAGGGAAAAGCAATGTATAATGCAAACAAGGTGGGTAATAATGTGTAATACGATGTGATGCTGTACAGAGCCGCCGCTGTGGCGAAGCAAAGGAAGGAGGAGAAGGAGCAAGAAGGAGGAGGGATGGTTTGCTTTACTGCAGCTGATGGTTCAGCATGGCAGTGAGATCTTCCTCGGTAGGGTCATCCGAGATCCAGATCCCCTTCTCCTCATCGGTGGCGTTCAGGAAACCCTCAGCCCTCCGCAGGGTCTGGACGTCCAGGTCTGTCACATAGGACCTGCCGTCAGCCAGAGGAAGGCGGACCTCGTGCTCGGTGGAGAGCATCATATCGTCCTTGGCCAGCCGGCGGGGGCCGTCAAAGACAGCCATGACCCGCTTCTTCATGGTCATCTGGCCCTTGTCGAAGCCCCATGAGGATGGGTATTCCCTCCTGCTCTTGCGGCCCTTGTTCTGGTTGTGGGTTTTTGGGAAGCCGCCACGGGAGTGTGTCAGCCCTCGTGACTTTTGCACGCCGTTGGCCGGGTTGCCCTTCCTCTTGATGAGCGACGCTGAGGTCTTGACGCCCATGGCCTTGAGCTCCTGCTCATCATAGGGCAGGCCGTCCTCGTCGTCCATGTCGTCATCGTCTTCCTCGTCCTCGGCGACCAGCGTCTGCGTGTCGGTGGGGAGGTTGTTCTTCTCGAGGGTCTGGTGCACATCCCGGTCGTTCTCGACCTCGGCGAGCCTCCTCGCGTTGATGGCCTCGGCCGGGTCCTCCTGCTGCACGATGCGCAGCACGCAGTCGTCCAGATGCTCGTAGAAGTCCTGCGCATTGCTGAAGGTCTGCGAGCAGGTGGAACACTTGCCGGTGGCATCAGGCGCGTAGCCGGGGCCAGGCTTCTTGCCAGTGCCCGCGGGTGCAGCACCAGCGCCGTTCTTGTTCTTGCGGCTGTTGGGTGGGGTCTGCTCCACCCCGTGCACCGCCGTCAGGTGCCTCTTGAAGACATCAGCCCTGTTAAAGGACTTCTCTGCCGCGGAGCCGGAGCCTGGGCAGAAGCCACAGACCATCGTCCCCTTGTAATGCGTCAGAGTGTGTCGGTTCTTGTCGTACTTGCGGGCGAAGCCCTTGGTGTGGTACTCGCAGGTCGTGATCGGGCACTTTTCAGGGCGCTCGGTCTGATGCGTCAACATGTGGGCCTTCAGGTCCTTGAAGACCTTGCCGCACTCGGGGTGGGGGCATCTCTGCTTCTCCTTGGTTTCGGTGTCGCTATACGTGCCAGAGTGGCCCGAGCGGAATGAGACCAGGCTTGGCCTCCGGTTCTGGTCCACTGGGACCGGATACGGCGAGAAGTGATAGCCGGCGTTGGCGGCCAGGAAGGGGCTCTGGCTTCCGTTCCTCACGTGTGGCGAGGACGAGGTCAGGGCGGGCGAGTTGGGGTAGACGGGGGCTGCCTGCTGCTGCTGCTGGACGGACGGCGCGTGCTGGAAGCCACCGTCGTAAGGTTGCATGAGCGGGCGCGCGATCTCGGGGTTGATCAGGCTTGGATCTGTAAAGGGGACGCGAGAGCATGGTTAGCCTTTTCTAGGATCAAGAGAAAAGAGGTTGGAGAGGAAAAAAAAGCAAAGAGTTTGACCAAGGAAACCAACAAGAAGATCCGAGAGGAGCTACAAAATGACCACTACTTTGAGAAAAGAAAGGAGGCACATGAGGAGTCGACGGGCTCCAGCCAGCGGCAGGAGAGGACAGGGAAGTTGAGAGCTCAGGAGAGATGAAAACACTGGGTTTCCTCCTTGCCTCTTCAGGAGAGATGGGCGAACCCGCGACCTGGGCATAGACAGCCTCAGGCGGCGTGTCGACCGCCGTTCGAGAATCCGAGAGGACAGTACAGGAAGACTCACGACGAGGAGTCGCAAAAGAAGGAGAAGTGGAACCGGGGCTTTGTTGTTGTTCCTGAAGGCGCTGTGGAGCAGCGGCTGATGTAGAAGTCTGTGGTAACTCACCAACATATCCGAGCGGCTTCGAAGTGTCTACGTATGCAAAAGATGTGAGATCCTCCATACCTGATGGTGCGAAGCTGTACTCCGTCCCAGTGTTGAAGTACTCGTGGTTCCCCACGATACCAGGGCTCATGGTCACGCCCTGGGGAGCCCACTCCGGTATTGGTGCTGGGTGGCCGTGTGTCGATCGTGGTGAGCCGACCGCGGACGAGGGCGCTGAGGGGCCGGACCCGGTAGACATGTTTGAGGCGATTGCCATCTCTCTGTCGTCCGGGAAGGTTGGTGGGGACATGCCGGCGTATGGCCAGCCTGCATGCCCGTCGACGGCAAAGGGTATGTTCTCCAAGCCGGTCATCGTCGTGGGCAGATCCTGGCTCATGCGTGGGTAGTAGGACGAGGCATCAGATGTGAGGCCCATGTCGAGAGGCGCGGTAGAGAAAGGACCATGCGGTGGGTCCGGATATATGGAGCTGTGGTGGAACTGGTGTTCCTCGTTGCCCTGCCTCGGAAACATGGCGAGCGAGTGGTGTTCAATAGACACCATAGTAGATGAGACCACAGTAGGGTGAGAGGGTGAGAGAGACAGCAAGACGTAACCACGAAGTTGTCCTGCAGTGGCTATATCCGAAGGATTGGGTTCCAAGGGGAGGGAGGAAGCCAAGAAGCTTGTGCTGGACATTGATGTCAGTCAAGAGGCTCCATTCGTATCACGACAACGCCATCACTCATATACAACAAGAAAAATATGCCTTACAAGCAGGTGTCTAGCTCATTCCAGAGTTTTCAGAGAAGGAGAGGGAGACAAAGAGGAGGAGAAGGTCACTCCAGGTCGTATAGTGAAGGGGTAAGTCTCGGCAGTCAGGTAGTGAAACTCATGAGAGAGGAGGGCAAGGGGGAAGAATCCTCGTCGTCGTTGTCGTCGTCGTCGTCGTCGTCGTCGTAAGTCGTCGTCGTAAGTCGTCGTCCGTCCTTGATAGAGGGGGAGAGAATAAATCCGTGGTTGAGGTTGTGGATGAGGTGAACCACTTTCCAGAATCGCTCCAGCTGAAGTCTTTAAAGACTTTGTCCCCTTGGTTCTCGTTGATGGGCTCTGAAGGCCCGTTCTTTTTGATCCTGACAGTCAAAACTGCCGAGAGGTTTTGAGAAAATATAAAGGAGTCAACCAGGAGGTGAGGTGGTGGTGATGTGGTGGTAGTAAGTATCTGCGGGCCGAGACGGTGGTAAGAAGGCGCAAGTGAGGCGATGTCTCCTGGGGTCCGTGATAATGAAGAAGGAGGAAGGATGTCAGAGTGGAGGAGGAACTAATGTTTACGTTCCTCAGGTCATGTATAGGGAGAGAGGAAAGAAAACCAAAAACCCAAGACAGAGGGAGATCTGGAGGTATGATATGGGGGCAGGAAAGAAGTGAGATCGAGAATGGATGTTGGGGGCCTTGGACAGATATAGACAGCAGCATGGTGTTTTGCTGTCTGGCCCAGATGGCTTGGGTCGATAGGGTCCCATAGAGAGAGAGATCTTGGGTGCTGCTGCGGTACCTCTAGTGCGGTAGGCGGAGCAGACTGAAGATGCTATGGTACGTACCGGTGATGGCAGTCATCGGCAGGGGACAGGGGTGGCAGAGGTAGACATGTACCTCTGTACCTCAGTGTGTACTATGGTAGGGACAGGGTGGATCGTATCCACAAGGGCTGACTGGGGGGGTCCCCTGGCCAGCCTTAGCGGGGCGGGTACGAAGGTATGGGAGTACGGGAGTACCAAGGTACGAAGGTACAACGCAGATATCCCTTGTCTTTTCTCTCTCTCTTTTCAAGCCGCCTCTTTTCTTGTCTCTCTGACACACACACACACCTGTGGGTGCTGATCGTGAGCATGGGTTGCGTTGGGTATGGGAGAGGGGGGGAGGTCTTCGTTAGAATGAGGAAGCATACTATGTACAGCCCTGAACCGTGGGACCAGGCATGGACAAGGAAGATGGGCAACCAGTAGATGACCAGTATGGTAGGTAGTACGGATGGATTAGGAATTAGGATTGCCATTTCCTCTCTCTAATGTAAGTAAGTAGTGATGGGAACACGGGTCAGATTTCCACTCAAACCGTAACCTTAACACAGTCCTTGAGCTATGGCGTAGAAGGATTCTCTATTGCGACCTCCGCCCAACAGTAAGCACGCGCCGGGTTGCATAGTGTTGACGTTTCTTGTGCGGAAGTCTCAGCCAGATCTTGGTTCGTTCTCGTTCGAGACCAGATCGAAGGGGACAACTGTTGCAACAGAGACGGGCGGCCCTGGCTAGCCACCAGGCCAGCTGTCCTTGAAGAAGGGCAGAGTATGATTATACGGTCTGGTTACCACCTCTGCTTGGTGATATTGATTCGATATGGTGGAAGCAAAAAAAGTCCAGAGGGTCTGTGACCGGATCCAAGGGGCTCGACTCCCCGCGGCCGCTTTTTCATGTGGAGCAGGGCTCGAATTGCACGCTCCACCTCACCGTCTCTCCGGGAGCAGAGAAGGGCGGTCGCCCTAACAAATACACGCTAGAAAACAAAACACAGAAAAACAGCGTGGTCCCTTTGTCCATCTTCTTTTCTCCGCCAGATGGAGCTCATCAAGATGAAGCAGATCCATCTCTTCCCCCCAGATCGCTACTCTTTTCTTCTTCTTTATTTTATTTAGTTCTCTACCTAAACGAGCCTCTACTATGTACCCAAAAATCCTTCCCGGCACGTGGCCGGTATGTCCGTTATTTCCAATCCTCCTCCACGGGTCCCTTGCCTAAGGGTTGCCAGCACCTACCAAATCTCTGTCTTTCCTCCCTTCTCCCTCCTCCCACCCCCCCTTGTGGCCCGTAGCCTTATTGTGCCATGTTCGTCAATAACAATTGGAGTGAAAGAAACCCACTTGCGAGCCCACCTCAGCCATCGTTCTGTAGAAATTTATTCTGAGGTGCTGAAAATAGAAACTGGTCATCCATCCCACCCCTTGTGTGTGTGTGTGTGTGTGTGTGTGTGTGTGTGCGTGTGTGCGTGTGTGTGTGTGTGAGCTCGTCATCTTTCGTCTCCCCAGGCTGGAGCTCTTGGTGGTCATGTGGTTCGATCTATTCAAGATGCCATGTGGATGTACGGGTGGGTAGGCGGGTGTGTGTTATGATCTCATCCAGTAGTAGTCGTATGGGGGATTTTTTTTTCCCTTGGGGCAACCCAAAAAAAAAAAAACTTCCCTGAAGCAGCCCTGAGAGCATGCACCGCGGCAGTGCCTGCTAAGGTACGAAACTTAGTACGTCAAAAGGGCCCGGCTATCGCAGTGCTAGGTCCCTGTGTCACAGAAGAGGGAGTGTAACAGCAAGAGCAATGGTGTCAGCAGAGGGACCCACTAGAGGACGGGAAGGTCTTTCCCTCAAGTGTGCTCGCACAGCCTGCCAGAATTCCCACACAATTCCGAACCCCAGTCTTTTCCCGTCTGACATCTCTTTGGGCTTCCACAGGAACACCCCCCCTGCCTTGGCCATGCCCAACACCGCGCCCTCATCTTGCCAAGAAATCTGACCTTGCGCAAGGAAAAAGAGAGAGAGAGAGAGAGACAGAAAAGTAAGAAGAATATTGCAGTTCTGATAATGCCCCTGAATGATGGGACCGAAATGGTTCTGGCCCCCCCCCGACTCTGCCTTGCTATGAGCATGTCTCTGCTCGTCTCTCTTGCTGCTACCCCGATGATGGGGTGGAAACCTGCCAATATTGCACCTGATTTCCACACCATCTCGAGAAAATGGGGTCATGCTTAACCTTCAACCATCGCGGGAAATGCGATAGCGAGCGTGGGGAGAGAAAAGGATAAGAAGGGGAGGGGGGGTCAATCTACATAGTACAGGTAAGACATTTTCCAGGGTCCTTCTGAGACAAGATAATGTTGCCCGCCCCCCACCCTCCCTTCTGCCTTGGTTTGACTTAGAGACCTACATCATCGCAGTACTATGGTACATACTGTGTATGGTAGATCTCTCGTACTTGCAGGACATGTCGTATTGCAGAGAGTGCTGGCTTTGCTTCTGCATCCGTCCCGGGTTTTTGTTGCATGTCTCTCGCGACCAGCGACCAGATTTGGTCTTCGCCTGGCCCTGTCACCGCATGTCTCTCGTTTTTGCACTACAACAATATGGTATTAATGTTGACTAATTCAAGAAACTGTGTTATATTTAACCTTTTCCTCTCTCTGTCTTTTTTTTATTTATTAAAAAAACCCCCCCCCCCCCAAAACCAACTAAGAGACCCCCCCCTTCTCTTCTAACATTCCATCAATTTCCACCTACACAACAATCCCCCATGGCCTCGATCCCTATGCACGGACTGTCATTAGGATAATGCCTGCAAGAACGAGATTTGATCTTCACTTTTCCCGTCGCCAGAAAGAAGCAAAAAGGGTAAAGACGAGGCGCGAGTGGATAAGATCGACCCAGTGGCATTCGACCATCCCCTTCGACCTGCATGGCTTGCTTCGTCCCGCCGCCCGTTCCCAGATGCGGGTCTTCCTCTCCAGGACGTCGAGACTAGCCTGCCACATAGGTCCGTAGTATCAGTTAGTAGGCCTGTCAGTGCGGCGGCGGCTTGTTCTTTCTCTGCCTCCTCCTTCGCTGCCTTTCTCCCTGTGATCCACTACGTATCTGGTTTTTTTTCTTCTTCCCCTTCTTCCACGATTGCTACCCCGTCTCTCCTCTCCGTACCCAGTGCCCTGGCTCTGGCGGGACTAGTGTGTATGTATGTGTGAGAGTGAGAGAGAGAGTGTGTGTGTGGTGCGTGCATGTCATGTCGCACTCGCCGGCAACACCCAGCAAAGTTTATGATTACGATATGGGGTCTCTTGTCCAAGAACGGATGTTGATTGCATTTCGCCTTCATTTGCGCACTGCTCGAGCTGGGCAAACCCGGTCCAGGTCCGGCCGCTCGCGCATTCTGTCCAATGATAAATGGCCATGCTCCAATCTCCTTCCAGGTCGTAATGAGAGATGTACTTGTTACAGTTTCAGTCTCTCCTCTCTTGTCTCCCACTTCCTCTTCCTCTTTCCTCCCCGCCAAGATGGGACTATCACTCAGTTCAGACGAGAAAGTCGTCACAAGGACACCTGTCGGGGTGGTCCTGGACGGCGATCCAAGGAGAGGGAGGGGGAGGGGGAGGGGGCTTGGTCGTTGTTGAATTGGCGCGCCAGATCGCGCAAACCGCCCTAAGGCTTAGGGGGAGAAATGGATACTTGTTTTTGCAGTCGAGCGAGTGAACGAACAAACGAATGATACTTTTGCTTTTTTTTTTTTTTTGTTCACTTTTGTTTTTGGGGAGTGGGTCGACGAGGCTAAGCCCCTGAAACGGGGTGGCCAACATCGTCACATAGAGAGAGGGAAACTTGCGGAGAGGACACGGCGCTTGGGTCGCTGGATGGTCGAGGCGTCACGCGCTAGCACTTGACTTGCCAGCACAGCACAGCACAACCTGTCTGGGCCTAACGGCCTCCTCCCCCCCCCCCCTCTTT